CATTTTGTCAAAAATACTTAAATATTACATTTCTCTCTCCCCTCCATGCCCCCTTTCTTTCTTTCACTTTCCCTGTCTTCTTCTTTGTAGTTATATTGATTTTCAGATTTTTTTTTAAGAGAAAGACCTGTCAAATTAAAAACTTTTCCTTTTCTTTTCCTCTTATTTTATTCAAATGGTATGGAATACATCAAAGATTTCTAAAAATCTTCAGAATTGTCATGTAACAAAGATTTTGATTAAAAAGAAAAAAAAAGGAAAATAGCTAGGAACCTCTAATTTTTAATTGACAGACTGTTTTTAATAGGAATTCTTGAAAGCAGAAGCCTTGTGAAGTCCTCTACCATTGTCCTACTGAGCAATAGTAGAATCCCTGAAACCTGATTGATTAATATGGGGCTGTAATTTTAATCCTAATTTTTTTGGAAAAAATATATATGTGTGCAGAGCCACAGTGGAACTCCTTTTTAGCTATAAAAATATCAAAACATTTTAACAGAATTGATCACATATACCTTGTGAACATGAACTTATTAAAAAAAAAAAAAAAAGGAAAAGAGATTAATCTAGCCCAATGCTAAAAATATTCCCCATAGTTCATTGTGTAATACCCAGGCTGCTTCAAACTGTTTCCAGTGATGAAGCTTTCACTTTTTTTTTTTTTTCTTATGAGATTATTTAGGTTTAATGGATCCTATGAGGAATTTGTTTCTGATACTCTGTTCCTGGCCATAATTTTTCATTTTCCTTTCTCTAAATGAAACTTTTGGAAATCACAGCCATTACAGAATTAATTAGTAGAACCGTAACAGTTGACTTTCAAATTACTGAATGGTTTTATTTTGAATTTCTAAAATTCAGTATTCCAAATTCACCATATGAGAGCAATACTTAGAAACAATTGTAGTTTATCTAAGCCCCTGTGTGGTCTTGATATGTAAGCCCTAACAGCTGTAATAGAATGAATGGTTTCACAGACAGTTGATGATAGCACTTGAAGGATGTTCTACATGTTGTTCATACAAACACTGGACAGTAAATGATTCTTCAAGTCACTTTATTAGACTGTAGCAATTATATTGTCACATCTAAAACACTATACCAGTAGAAGTGTATTTTGCACAGGTTTAATTTGCCTGTTCCTTTACTTTCCTCCTCCTCAACTCCTGGATGAAAAAAGTATCATAATCAAACTGTAAGATATTTACTGAAATGTAGTAACCCTCTTTTTAAAATTGTGGCAGCTTTTGAAAGGTTTATATGCATTCTGATCTCTTTCAAAATTATATTTTCTATGAGTTTTATCCTTCTGAGAAAGGTGTATTAAACATGCGTACAGAAATCCTCAGGAATTTTTCTGCAACATCACAGTAAAGGCAGTGTTCCTAAAATTTCAAATTTACATTAGGGTACATATTAGGACAGATAGATGGAAGAAAGTATTTTTAAAGGGCCATTGTAACAACTGTGAAAAAGTATATCTGTCGAATGGTTTAACAGCATACTCTCATTGGAAATGAACTGGTTCCACTAATATGTGAAAATGAGCCATAAAACCAGGACCTAGCTCTAGGGGAGCCATGCACAATTGTTGACATCGCAGACTTTTTACTCTGACATCTAACCAGGGCAGTGGACACTTCTGCATTTGCCTTTAGAGACCATTTGTCCCAGTACGTTTTATTTCTACTGAAGAACTTGTATCTTAGTAGTTGGTGCCCTAATTGATACTCTAGCCCTTCACCTTGAATCACAGAAACAGAAAACATGTCTTTACTATTTAACTCTGGTGACTTTTGTATATGGATTATTTCTTGGGGGAAGGGGAAGGTGGCGCTTTTTTTATTTTGTTCTTCAGAAGGTTAGTGGTGCTGGCATTTGAATAATTTTTGGTTATTTATCAGGAGATTGTAATTCTATATAATTCACTTCTGAAATGATGCATCTTACTTTGCTTTAGCTATTACAGCGGTCATCTTGCTGGTCATCTTCATTCCTCTATAGTTACTGGAGAAAGTAATCTCCAGGAGCAGTATGTACCTAAAGCTAGATGCCCAAAATGGAATAAATTATCTTGTATGTCTCTAATGCTTACAGAAGGGCCTTAGCTGATTAGCTTAGAGTGACTAGCTTTTAGATGGTTATCTGCAGGTAAACTGAAACCTACCTTAAAACTGGAGGCAGAGAGATATGGCGGTTCTGATTTCCTAGAAAGGGCTGTGTACCCAGAGAAGGACAAAGAGTTTATTTGCTGTTGATAGATTTTTAAATAGCACTCATTTCTTAGAGTTACAGTTATGCAGTGTAAAGAGGTATGATTAATGCATGAGCTGAAATGTGTAATATCACTTCTATAGATGTTAAAGTGTAAAAAATTTAAGTATATGACCTCTCACTTCAACTGGTATTAAAAAAAAAATAAAAGTGTTTAAGAGAGTTAGACATTCATATCTCTCTGTAATCTGTTGTGAAGCGGATGCTTATTTTTCTAAGATTCCCTTAGACTGCCTAGCCTTAAAATTAAATGTTTGTTTATTATCCCAATTTTTGTATAGATATTATCATCCATGAAGCAATTCTCTCTTTGCTGCCTGTATCTCAGGGTTTTTTGTTACAGCTCAGCACAAACATCATACTTTCATAGTTCACAGGAGAAGTTCTAATGCTTTTAGAGCAGAAGGAAAAGAATTTAACTCTGAGCTCTGTGGCTGCATATGGTTATCAAACATGTACATTTGTTCTTTTGCAGCAATGAACTCACTGTAACATGGCACCCAACTGTGTGTATTTATGTAAAACACAATATGAAGGAGATTGGTCAAATTATTATCGAGATAAAGATCATTAATGATTACAATAAATACAGAATTTCTCAGAAGCAGCTCCCATTTTTAGGATAGCAGCTAAGTTGTGGTCATAACTTCTATTTTAAAATTTATATCTTGGCTAGTCCAGCAAAATCCTTTTTTTTTGCTATGAAAAAGCAGAAACAAAAACTATGACCAGTTCTAACTATGGTCCAGCTTACAGATAAGTTCTTAACACCACCTTTAAGGAGGTTCTATAATTAATTCCAGGGCAAAAGTCTGACTTTTCTAATGGCAGAGAACTGATGAAAATGCAGTTTATTGTGGGCGTTTTGCCTGACAATGACATGAAAAATGGAAATGTTGATTTTAGTAGCAGCTGTTTTTAAGAGGCGGCAGATTTCTTATGTAAATAAAAGCATAAGGTCAGTTTTCCTGGGCATCTATAGCTGAGATATTAGACCTAGAAAATAGGCATCATTTCTGCAGTTGTAAAGGTTTGTTTGGTTTGAGAAGTATCAGGCTCTGTGAGTGTCACAATGATTATATGTGTGTATATATATATGGGGTGGATTTGCTTAACACAACAGAGATATTAGCTTATAATTCTTGACGAGAAAAGAATAAACAGCAGAATTAAGGCTGTTAAGAATTAATTTTGTAATGACATATACAGTGCTATGTCCTCCACACCTTAAATTAGAAACAACTTTGAAATGTGAGCACAATGTGTGTTATAATCCTAATTTTTGAACCAAAGGATTTAACTAAAAACAAGAAGTACAGTGTAAATTGACTTCATATGTGCCGAACAGAAGATAATTCTTTATCTTCCATCCCTTTCCTAAATCACACAAGATACCCATGGTATATAAGCACATCTATTTCACATGTACCTGGAGAGTAGCAGGTGGCTACCAGTTTTTGGTTGCTAACAACAGAGACCATTAAATTTCTGATGTAATTTTATTCATCTTTTCCAAGCTCCAATATTCCAACCATACAAGCAGTGGCAAATAGTTCTAATGACAACTTACCTATAAAACCTAAACAAAGCTAAAAAAATGGAGTGGGGAGTGGTAGAGAAAAGCAGGTACCTAGGAGACCGGTCACTTGTGTAAATACTTGTGTGACATTAAACCTTACCTTGGGCCTTCTGCTCCATTAATTGAGTGCTGCCTGTGTTACCGATACTGATACGCTAGGTGCTGTTGCAAAACTCATAGCTGCTGCAAAGCATGGTGGTGTGATATGAAGTGATGCAGAAAACAGTAGAAGCTCTGTCACTAGGTCAGCTGCAAGAAGAAGTGACATGTATGAATGTACAGTATATGGAGTTTTGTGAAAGATGCAGTCTCTCTTTCTCCCAAAGAACTTCAGCTGATGATACAAGGGGAATTCAGTTCCCTTTGGCAGGACTCCATGTTGGTCTGGATGCTGTAAATACTTCTGCTTCTACAATTACTTAGCTCATGCTGCTAAAAATATACTCATGATAGACTTAATGAAAGTATCTTCTTTTAAAATCTACTTGTCTACAACAATCATTTAATGTTCTTGTTTGCATGTGTGGTTCTCATTATTCTGACATAGCTATTAATACTGATGAAAATTAAAGAGAGAAAATCCAAATATTGTCACACTTGCGCTTTTCCAGTAGCATTTAAAAAACCCCACAGCTAATTAGCCACAAATTTTCTTGATTTTTTTTTTGCTTTTTTTTTTCAATTCAAAAGTAATATAGCAATATATGAAATAGTATTACAATGTTAAGGGCCTAAGAATCCCAGTAGATGATGTAATTATTATTAAAAATTAGTATTATTGAATAATTCACTTTTGTAATATGCAAAAATAATTTTTTTCTCTCATTTTGAATAACCATCAGTCTTAATATCTAACTAATGAAAAAAACATAAACAGTGTCATCTGTCAGGTTACTAACAGAGAATGCCACTTCTTGGAGCCTCATTGTTTACTTTAGCAGGTAATTTGTGGACCGGAATCATTTAATTGTTCTGAGCACATAATTACATGCCAGCATTTTCCAATTTAATTAAAATGTACAAATCTGAAGATTAAGGGAATTTTTGAATTATTAATCATTTCTCCTCTAGGAAATCTTGTTGCTCTGCAGGAGATTTGTCCAGTGTACAACTATACGTATTTTTTTCCTTCTCTTTCACAGACAGACAATTTTCCCGCAGAGCCCAATTACATGGGCAGCAGGCAGCAGTTTGTTCAAAGGTAAGGCCTATTAAATAACTTTCTCGGCTTCCCCATTTGCATTCTTGTCAAAATTGCTTTGCCAGAGAGTACAATTCAACTTAGAACAAGTAAATACAACTCTCTCTCTCTTTTTTTCTTTTCTTTTCTTTTTTTTTTTTTTTTTTTTTAATATGTATTTCAGTAGCTCCACATTCAAGGATCCAGAAAGAGCCAGCTTGAGGGACAGCGGGCATGGGGACAGTGATCAGGCTGACAGTGACCAAGACACTAACAAAGGCTCCTGCTGTGACATGTCTGTTAGGGAGGCACTCAAGATGAAAACTACTTCAACTAAAAGCCAGCCACTTGAACAAGGTGAGTGAAGCCTCCAATGCTTACAAAAGCGTAAAGTTTAAGCCGTCATTATAAACCTATTAGTATTGCAGTTGCGGTTTGTCAGGGTGGAATAGCCCACTGATAATACTATCAGAGGAAACAGTAAATCTTGTAGCTAGCCCAGAGCAAGGAACGCTCAGTATCTTTCAGAATGAACATGAAATGAAACCACAAGTATCCAAAGAAGATTAAAAAAAAGAAAAAAAAATTAGTACTTTTCTTAAATGATTAGAATATACTTTATCTCCACTGGCATTGCCTGTGATATATTATATACAGTCCTTCTGCCAACGTGTGATTTGGAAATTCAAACTAGACATGACTGCAACAGATAAAAGAATGCCAGTCATTTACATTCCTCACGTAGTTTGGAGACAAGGAAAAGAAAACAGACTTGGGTATCAGATGAGTAAAAATGGATCAGAAGTTGTTTTCATTTCATGCATGTATTTTCCTGTTTGTAATGTTGATTTCACAATTAATAGTAGTGTAGAAGTGTCAAATAATAACATAATCTGATTTTCAGTATAATTTCATTCACATCCTGTGGAAGTATCAAAAACGAGTGTCTGTGAAATAGCTAAAATCACTTA